TTTAAGGAAAGACAACCTACGAAAAACATTCCTTCACCACCTATGGCATGAAGGAAGTTACAAAGAGACACAGAACCCCCGTAGAATTCATAACTCCAAGAGCTCACAACACAGGTGGAGAGACACACTGGCTACTTCACGCTGGTCATCACGCTGGATGCTCTATCAACAGCCCCTCCTGTTAATCTCCACAAATCATCTAATATTATCTCAATTTCACAAATGAGGAAACAGACTCACAGAAGCTGCATCATTTGATCAGGGTCACAAAACAGTAAGTGCCAAAGTTATAATTTGAAGTTAAGCCTACTGGCAAAGGTGCATACTGGGTATACTTTCCCAGTCCAGTGGTTTTCCACAAGAGGGAATTCTACGTCCTCAGGGACATCTGACAACTTTTAGAGACCTTTATAAGTGTCACACCCGGCGTGGGGGTGGCTGATACAGGTATCTAGTTGGTTGAGGCTAGGAATGCTGATGAACACCTAGCAATGCACGAGACAGGTCCCCACAACAGGAATTTTCCAGTACAGAATGTCAACAGTGCCAGGGCTGTGAAACCGTGGCTCATAGGGCAAGACACTATGATCATCAGGAAAGGCCCAAATGGAGGGCGCAGGCATACGGAGAAGGGAAGGAGGAGCACTCTTAACTGGAGTAGAGTGGGAAGGAAGCCTCTGCCATGGAAGCAGGATTTTGGTAAAGTCCTTAAAAATATGGGTAGAAAAGACAACTTGGTGTTTTCAGCAGCCTAAGACAAAAGAAATGACCAAAGATGTGCAGCTAATAAACAGCCAGGTGAGTACTTTCTCTAAAATCCCTACAAAATGAAAGTAGTAAACATTTATGAATAAAAACTCTGACAAATCTGCATGTATTTATAGATGCTTGGGCATCTTTGAACATTCATAAGAGACTGGTAACTTGGTTGACTCTAGGAGAGAAACTGGGTACCTGAAGGACATACATTTTAGAACATTTACATATATTATCTATTTAAAAGATTAATCAATTCATGGGAAACAATTTACCTGCCAGGAAATAAAAGCTGAATCAGGATTTGTGAAGGGAAATACGGGCTGACAGCAGATGGCAGAAAAACCTTAAACAGGTTCACAAGAAGAACGGTGATTTAATTTTTACTGGACATTAGGCCAAGTACAATTCTAAAGTTATTTTATGCTGCTTGGCAAAATGCTAAAAGCCAAAGTTCCAGAGCCAGACTATCTACGTATAAATGCCTGTTCTACAGCTTACTACTTTTTAAGTTAATTCATCACTGGGGCAAATTACTTAACCTCTCCACACCTCTCTTCCCCCTCCATAAAATCAGAAGGGTAAAAATACTTATTTCATAGGGTTATTGTAAAGAGTCAATGGATTAAAATTTGTAAAGTACTTATAACTATGCCTGGCACATACTAAGCACTGAATAAAAATTTATAATAATCAATAGTAGCATCCCTTTACATTTAAAAAATAATCTAGCAAGGAAGGTACCTTTCTTTATTAGTCTCATTTTATTCATGAGGAAATTGTGGCTTAAGGAAGTTAAGGAACTTAGCCTAAGTTCCTGGCTAGAGAAGGGTACATCTGACACCAAACCCCAAGCTCTTTATCCTCCCACATGTCATTTCTTGAAAGTAAATGTTAAGCTTTAGACAATAGGCACTGGAAAACCACTAAAGGTTTCTAAATGAGTAATATGAATTACTGAAGCAACGTTTTGTTTAGGAATGGAAAGGAGAAAAAATTGGCCTAGGGAAATAGAGCAGGATGGGCAGGCCTCTGGGAGAGTAGAGAGCCTATGAAAAGGTACTGGCTGGGGGTGATAAGGGTCTGAACTAAGGAAGGTGGTGCCGGAAACACAAAGATCAGGAGTAAAACACACACCATGGCAAGGATCGATGGCTAGGTGACTAGTGAAACATGGCAGGTGAGTGAAACCAGAAGTCAGCCACACCTGATTTCAAAGGCAAGGGAGGCCACAGAGTGGGAAGAGTATTAGAAAGCTGCTCCATCTTGCCTGTTTTAGGAAGCACTGTAACTGTAAGGTCTATACTCAGAAATACTGAATCCATAGGCTGAGTGAAAGGGAATAAAGGGGGGGATCCCTGGGTGGCGCAGCGGTTTAGCGCCTGCCTTTGGCCCAGGGCGCAATCCTAGGGACCCGGGATCGAGTCCCACGTCGGGCTCCCGGTGCATGGAGCCTGCTTCTCCCTCTGCCTGTGTCTCTGCCTCTCTGTGTGTGTGTGTGTGTGTGTGACTATCATAAATAAAAAAAAAAGGAAAGGGAATGAAGGATCCTCAGGTTATAAGGATTATTAACCGGGATAGACAGCAATTTACTACTTTGAAAGTCACGGGAGGGATGCCTGGATGGCTCAGTGGTTGAGCGTCTGCCTTCCACTTAGGGCGTGATCCCAGGTCCAGGATCAAGTCCCCCATCAGGCTCCCTGTGAGGAGCCTGCTTCTCCTTCTGCCTGTGTCTCTGTCTCTCTCAAGGATAAATGAACAAAAAACAAAAAAACAGAAAACAAAAAACAAAACTTACAGGAAAGAAAGTTTAGGGGAAAAATCCAGAATCCATGATATTTTAATAATAAAATAAAAGGTGCGGTCACACTAAAATCAAAACTTCTACTAACATTGCCTATGATGACTAAGTACAGATGAAAATTTCACCTCGAAATCTTCCTAGACCAATAAAACACTCTAAGAGTTCTCAGTCTCCAAAGCACGGTGTGTGTGTGAATTACACGGGGAATGACGCACTCATTAAAATCATTTGTTCATTCAGCAAGGACCCACGAAAATTCCATTAAATCCCATGAATTTCATCTTTAGATTTGCAGACGTTTTTACTTGCTGAGAAAGGCAATAAAGTTCCCCGTTCTGGAACACAAAATAAATATCAATGGCTCAACTGAAAGTCACCTTCTTTCATGAGCCAGCTTGAGACATGGCCAGTCCCCTATGGAACCATGGACATCTTTCCAAGTACAGGGTTCCAGGGGATGACAGATCTATGTGAAATACATGCAAGCTGGAGCTTCTCAAATTATTTGCTTATTGTAAAATATGTAAATCTCAATATTTTCAGGATTAACCAGAGATAATTAAGAAATTTTTTCAGTTTGTTTTTTTTTTTAAGATTTTATTTACTCATGACAGACTGAGAGAAAGACAGAGGGAGAAGCAGACTCCACGCAAAGAGCCCAATGTGGGACTCGATCCCAGGATGCCAGGATCACGTCCTGAGCCAAAGGCTGACGCTCAACCACTGAGCCACCCAGGCTTCCCAATTTTTTCAGTTTTAACAAGATGATTTTTTAGAGTTCAGTTGCCACTAATAGTCATAAATATGGAATTGTCATTCAGGGATCAAAAATTTCCAGTTAAAGGTTAATTGCCACCGCACCCCCCCCCCACATTAAAGGAAAAAAAAATTTTTTTAATTTTTTTTTTTTAATTTATGATAGTCACACAGAGAGGGGGCGGGCAGAGACATAGGCAGAGGGAGAAGGAGGCTCCATGCACCGGGAGCCTGACGTGGGATTCGATCCCGGGTCTCCAGGATCGCGCTCTGGGCCAAAGGCAGGCGCTAAACCGCTGTGCCACCCAGGGATCCCGGAAAAATGTTTTTTTATTTGATATATTAACCATGTTAAAATAATTAATAAGTTAAAATGCTACTATCTAAAATCTAAAAGAGAACAGATATTAGTATTAAGCCAAAGCTGGCCACAAGTTCACAACAGGCATGTATATGTACCAACTGCATCCAGGAACAGTACTTCATTGTCTAAGCCAAGGCAAAGAGCCCTCCTCTTTCCAATCTCTCTTCTTGTGTAACATCTATAATGTTAGAAGACAAGCTGCCAATTTGCAGTGTAAAGAGACAAAGATAAATGATGAACGATGCGACCTATACACAACTTTAAAAGCAAAATCTAGGATAGGATGCTTTCACAAACCAATTTAAGCTTTGAAATCTTCATTAAATGAAAACCTATTCATATGCACATAAGCAAATACTATCTATACTACAGTTGTTAGGAAGGTTCTTCTATAGGCACCCATCTCTTGAAGTCACTTTAACCGTGACTCATTCCATCATTTGTTTCCTATGTAAGAAATCTGGACCCAGGCCTGTGTTTCAGGTCTAGAGACCCTGAACAAGTCTAGCTCCAGCTTTGGGCCTTGAGGGCAAGGGATGGGCACCAAATCACATAAGCCTTTCCTCAAGCAAACCAAGCAACTCCCTGATATATTACTTACTCTGCAGAATTATCCAAGGCAATTGTCCATGACAACAGAACAAGTAATAAATTGTATCTGTAACTTTCCTAGGTAGGCTATAAGGGCAATGAGGAATAAGATTGATATATTCCATGCAGAAAACTGAATCTGGTAAATATTTCTAATTAGGAGATCTTCCATATGTGTATACTTTCATCCTATAAATATTTGCTAGAATATCAGACCCCAGCTAAAGGTTTTCTTTTGTCAAGGCAATTGAATAAAGTACAAATCTAACATGATACTCCCGATATAACTTAAACATTCCTTACATTATCTTCCATTTAACCTCCATCCAAAGATACATAGAAATAGTAAACAAACACAAATTATCTATTTATTCTCTATTTTATAAGGAACTAAATGGGACATTTCATAGTAATGATATTAGATAAAACAATTCCTCAGTATGTCGTATCACTTACCTTAACAAAAGATCAATACACCAAAAGAAATGCATGCCTGACATTTACCTACTGCCCTCTTCACAAGACAGAATGACATGTGATTAGATAATTATAAAACTGATGTAACAGGTTCAAATGTTGTACACTGTAATGTACATGCATAAATTTATAAAAGAGATTATATTTAGACCTGTGACAGCATGCACATGTGTGTGTATTTAAGAACAGAAATTTGCACTGAAAGGCTAGCCAGATAGGCACTGGAGGGCAGGGCTGCCCTGGCTTCCTCACCTGTCGAATGATACTCTTCACACAACGTACGGGGAGGCCTTGGTAATTGGACTTGATGATCCACTTGAGGAGATGATGGCCAAGCACTTCGAAGACCATGCAGACATCTGGGATATGGTTAAGGATCACGTGTGGACACATTTCTTGGAGTGAGGCAATTGCTCAAAGCAGTATCACTGTAGCACTTGGCAATTTTATCTTTATAAAATGCTGTATCATGGGGCACGTGGGTGGCGCAGTCAGGTAAGCGTCCAACTCTTGGTATTGGGTCAGGTCATGATCTCAGGGTAGTAAGAAGGAGCCCCACGTTGGGCTCCATGCTCACCATGGAGACTGCTTGGGATTCTCCATGGTGCCCCATCCCCAATCATGCACACCTACATGCGTGCACTCTCTAAGAAACAACAAAAAACATTTAAAAATGCAACATCAAAATAAATAAATAAAAAATAAAATAAAATAAAATAAAATAAAATAAAATAAAATAAAATAAAATAAAATAAAATAAAATAAAAATGCAACATCACTACCATCAATAATACCAAAGTGGTCACAGGCTGTTTCTCACCAAAATAGGTAGATCTAACATTTACCAAGGACTTATATCCTACATGTTACTCAGTGTAGGCTTGTCAAACAATGTGCTTACCCTTACACAGAAGCAACCACAGTGAACCCAGGAGCCAAAGAGATCTCCAGTGTCACTCACACAGTCCAAAAGTTGCTGGGCCGTGATGCAACCTTGCACCTCCCTGCACTCTTGCTCATTTCAACATCCCCCTCCCTGGTAATCAGCAGTAATGAAAGTAAGCAAGGCTAAAACCTCATAAAAACTGATGGGGGGAGGGCAGCCCGGGTGGCTCAGCAGTTTAGCGCTGCCTTTGGCCCAGGGCCTGATCCTGGAGACCCAGGATCAAGTCCCATGTCAGGTTCCCTGCATGGAGCCTGCTTGTGTCTCTGCGCCCCTCCCTCCCTCCCTCCCTCCTTCCCTCCCTCCCTCCCTCCCTCCCTCCCTCCCTCCCTCCCTCCCTCCCTCCTTCCCTCCCTCCATCTCTCACGAATAAATAAATAAAATCTTAAAAAAAAAAAAAAGACTGATGGGGGAGAGGGGGCAACAAAAAACCCTGTCTTAAAAGTGTCCTGCCTGCCTGCCTATATTCCTAACACATAAAACATTTTATAAAATAGAAATTTACAAAACACAGTGAAGATATTTAACCTTTTCCTTCAATAGTATCTTTTTTTTTAAAAGATTTATTTATTTGAGAGAGAGAGAGAGAGAGAGAGCGCACGTACATGAGCAAGAGAAGGGCAGAGGGAGAGGAAGAAGCAGACTTCCTGCTGAGCAGGGACCCACCCCCCCCATGCAGGGCTTGATCCCAGGATCCGGAGATCATGACCTGAGCTGAAGGCAGACGCTTAACTGACTGAGCCACCCAGGCACCCCCCAAGAGTATCTTTCTTTGCAGAACCAGATAAAGTTTAATACTCCAGGCAGCTCTCAATGATGTAAGATCACAATATAGAACATAGCATTTAATAATGAAATCTCAGGAATCTGGGTGTTCTAGTCAACCAGGGACTCTCCAGAACTAGACCCACTAAAGTCCATCATACAAATATATTCAGGTTATTCATACAGAAAGATTTAAAATGTCTCTGAAACCTTTTGAGAATATATTGTTCATCCCTGGAAGCCTAAAGACAGGCTATTACAAGCAGGTTAATTGATTTAATATTTTGTACTACAATATCTAGCTCTACCAATCAAATTATCACAGTTGCTTTAAATATTTTTAGTGAAAAATTTAAAAAGCATTTCTACACTGCAGAACATTATAGATTTATGCACAGATAATATAAAGCCAGAAGTGTCTTACTATTTCCCAAATCATTATAAAAAATGGCAAAATGATTACAGTTGGTAAAAGACGCAGAGCCAAAGGCCAAGATTTCTAAATTATGACCTAAATCTTTTCAAAGCACTGACAACCTGGACTATAATGGTTTCCCTAGCGCTTTATAAAATAGTAGTAACAGCCACTGGAATGTATATATACCCAAAACATTCCATTTACCTATAAATCAGGTAGTTTCTCCAAAGAAACTCTCTCAGCTATTCCAAGCAAACTGCCTTACAAAACTAAGAGAAGCTGCCCTGCCTGCCCATAAACAAACAGGCTCACCTGGAGACAGGGCAAAGGACCAGCTCTTTCTGTCTATAGGGTGGTGGAGAGAACACCAGAACCTGAGTGACTTGGATGAGCGTCTGACTCTTGATTTTGGCTCAGTATGTGATCTCGGGGTCATGAGATTGAGCCCTGCATCGGGCTCCATGCTCAGGGGGGAGTCTGCTTAAGATTCTTTCTCTCCTTTTCTCTCTGCCCCTCCTCCTCTTCAATCTCTCCCTCAAAAATCAATCTTTAAAAAAAAAAAAAAAAAGAGGGGAAAATGCACTGAGCAACAACCAGAAATAATCTTGAGGAAAAGACAAAGTGACATCAGCAGGCACTGATACTTACTAGTACCCTCTAATCCAATCTCTGAAGGAAATACAGAACCTCCTTCAGACATACAGGGTATGAAGGAAGTGCCTGCTCAGGGATTAAAGCTTAGGAGATACAGAAACAGGGTACCAATCTGGGCTGTAAGCTGGAAGAAGGCTTTGCCTTGGGCTTCTGGAGCTGGAGGAGGTCAAATACCAAAATGATAGATCTGTTCCAAACATGTTATGATGGAAGGAGCAAAAGATTGGCAAGGAGAAGACCCTGACTCTTGACACAACCGATCCTTTGCTCCTTTTCATCTGTAATGATGACTGTGACTAATCTTTCTCAGCTCTCTACTTACACATATGTATGGTTCTTCCTTAGCTTGATATTGAAGGTAGAGGGATTGTCTGTAAAGAGCACGGTGCCTGGACAAGAAGAATGTTTAAGATGCTGTACGACCCCAGAGAGATTACCCAAGACACTGAAATGGACTGGCAGGAATTGGGGAATTTTCGGCATACCATGTTACAGCATTCTATGATGACAGTAGAGGCTTTATATAGACATTGATACAGCACAGCAAACAGGAGTTTAAACAAGCTTGAAATATTTCCATATTTTAAAAGTAAAAGCCACTAGGAAATAAAAGAATTATCAGTAAGGATACGTATTCCATTCATGCCTGAAATCTTGAAGTCATCAATTAACTGTACTACCATGTCTTTATTCGGGTCAGTGGGATCACTTTCTCGAACCTACAGGAAAAAAAATGAATTCAAGGACAGAAATATTTAGGACTGAAAGTCATTTCCATTATAATCAACCAAAAACATTTTAGTAAAACAGATGTTTTTAAAGATAAAAGATTCATCATTCAAACTTAAAAATTCCTTTGTAAAATTTTGTCATTAATTTTTCTTGCATTATTCACATTTTGGGGGTACTTACACATTTGAGCAGTTTTATTTCATCCAAGGCTGTCTCTGTATAATGCTGGGCACTTTTTACAACTTTCATTGCAACAAATCTTTTCCCCCTTTAAAAAAAATGCATATTTTTAATATTATCAGAAGTAATCATTATAATAACATCTATTCAATAAATAGAAACTTCCTTTTTTTTTTAAGATTTTATTTATTCATGACAGACACACAGAGAGAGGGGCAGGGACATAGGCAGAGGGAGAAGCAGGTTCCCTGTGGGGAGCCTGATGTAAGACTTGATCCCAGGACCCCAGGATCAGGACCTGAGCCAAAGGCAGATGCTCAACCACTGAGCCACTCAGGAATCCCAATAAATAAAAACTAAAAACCTTTCCTTTAAAACAGTACTTTTTCGGGGATCCCTGGGTGGCTCAGCAGTTTAGCGCCTGCTTTCAGCCCAGGGTGTGATCCTGGAGTCCCGGGATTGAGTCCCACATCGGGCTCCCGGCCTGGAGCCTTCTCCCTCTGCCTGTCTCTCTGTCTCTTTCTCTGTGTCTCTCATGTATAAATGAATAAAATCTTTAAAAAAAAAAAAAAAGACAGTACTTTTCAAATTGTGCAGCAGCAATTAAGCAATAGGTTAATGGATCAAAACAATCTCTTCTTTGCATCATGTTGTCTTTACCTAATTAAAAAAAAAAGGTAGACTGGAAAAATATCAGAGTTCATCCATACATTAAAGGTAATTCTTATTTTATAACACTTCTGTTTTAGTACATACACATACACACCATATATGTATGTGTGCAAGGGGTAGCATTGCAGTTTCATACTATGGAGCTGTTAAAAAAAAAAGTTAGAGACCACTGACTTTTAAGGTCGACACATCATTATTTTACATGTGAATGTTTCTCTGACATGGATGAATTATTATTAGAATATGTGATACAATGCAATTTCAATGAATAAGCTTCAGACATAAAAGCAGAAGAAAGTTAATATATTAAGATAACACACAAGAGAACTTCTGACTGGGGTGGGTGGGTGTCTAGGTGAGTGGGGCAGGCTTATGCTAAGTAGTATACATGCCACAACAGAAGTAGGCGTGCTCCTCAGCCATACCGTACTATAAAGGTTGAACTAGCCCAGAAACTAAATGCACAAATGACAAAGAACACTTACTGCATATCCCAGCACAGCCAGACAGTTGAGAAGTGTCCCCATCCTAGCTTCCTAATAACATGGTAGCGGCCATTGAAGAGGTCTCCAATTTTCACCGGATGGTAGCCACCTGTTATAAAAAAATTTTTTTTAATTTCAGAGAAATAGTAAAAAAATCTCTTCCTTTGCGTCAGTTCTTTTTTTTTTTAAGATTGTATTTATTTTTCAATTAATCTCTAGACTCAACGTGGAGCTTGAACTCAAGACCCCAAGATCAAGAATTACATGCTCTACTGACTGAGCCCGCCAGGTGCACCCTTTAGTCAGTTCTTGAGTCCATTTAAGAAAGCTCTAAGTACTAAAATCAGATCAAAATATGTTGAATAATACAACATTTTTCTTGAAAGTATCTTTCATCAAGAGAAAAATGTCCTTTGCCTAAAAAGCCCTTCTGTTCATTCTGATTTAACTCAGAAAAGCCACCCAGCACTCTGTAACAATAATTTGTGTACATAATATGCACACACCAGTTCTTGACTTTTCCACACAATGTCATCTTCTTTTCTAAGCATTCAATGCAAATCTTCTTGGGTCAGCAAAATAAAAAATGTGTACTCTGAGTAAATCTGCATACACCAATAGTTAATGTATAAACAACAAGGAATCATATAATGTACAACAGTTCACCCTCCAACAGAGCTCACTCCTCTCTCCCCTGACTTCTCCAACCTCAAACCACTGCTGAGAAATAGGATGGAGAGTGAGAGAGCATACCCTGTGGAGGCAGATACTTGAGAAAGGTAAAAGAGTGCTTTTATAGATATCTGGCATAAAAAGACCTTTACTCTGTATTTGTAAGTAAAATAAGCAGGCTGCAAAGTAGCATGAAGAATGTGATACCATTTTTGTGAAATACACCAGGAAAAATCTAGGGGGATAAGATGTTTGCAACAAACATCTCTGGGTATAAAATTACTTTTATTCTTTTTATCTATCTTAATTTTTTACTAAAACAAACATAATGCTTTCTGACTTTTTATTCTTATAACATCCGCTTCTTTATTGCAACATTATCTCTCATTTTTCAAGTCTGCAAGTCAATTCTTACAAGTCATTCAAGGAAGGATAGTTCCACGGATAGGTCCTTCCCAGCTAGTGTTCAGAGGCTCAGAGCAGGTGCAGGAAGTATTCAAGCCACATCTTTTAATGTATCTAAGTTTCTTTCAGAAGGCTAGGAGTAAACTTCAAGAAATACTATGAATATTTTTTGGGTTTATTTAGATTGTTACCTAACTGAATTAGTGAAGCAGTAATTTGACAAGATACTGAGCTTTAAAGATTCTTATTCTCCTGCCATTACACCTGGATTTCTCAGATTTTAATATCAAAGTCTTTAACAGGGGGATCCCTGGGTGGCTCAGTGGTTTAGCACCTGCTACTGGCCTAGAGTATGATCCCGGAGTCCCGGGATTGAGTCGTACATTGGGCTCCTGCATGGAGCCTGCTTCTCCCTCTGCCTGTGTCTCTGCCTCCCTCTCTCTCTGTATGTGTGTGTGTCTCTCTCTCATGAATAAATAAATAAAATCTTAAAAAAAAACCACACACAAGTCTTTAACAGTATTCTGGGTAAAAGATATGAACTAAAAGATAATAAATTAAGAATATAGCAGATAAGGGATCCCTGGGTGGCGCAGGGGTTTGGCGCCTGCCTTTGGCCCGGGGCGCAGTCCTGGAGACCCGGGATCGAATCCTACGTCGGGCTCCCTGCATGGAGCCTGCTTCTCCCTCTGCCTGTGTCTCTGCCTCTCTGTCTCTCTCTGTGTGACTATCATGAATAAATAAATAAAATCTTAAAAAAAAAAAAGAATATAGCAGATAAGATAGGTTGTGACTAAACTCATTGTAGTGATCATTTCACAATAAACACATAGGTCAAGTCATGATGCTATACACCTGAAGCTCATACAGTGCTATATTATGAAATACATCTCAATAAAATGAGAAGAAAAAATGGCTTATTACTTACTTAAAAGGTTAAACTAAAATTGAAGTGAAATGAATTTACAATACAATTTTGAACCATTAAAATTAACACTGAAAAGGAGAGAAAAACTATAATTTTCCAAGTACAAATTAGGGGCATTGTGCTAGGCACTTTATTTTCAAAACCATGTTCCATGAAAGGAAGTAAACTCCACAATATGTTGCTGGTGTTCCATGGTAGAAGTGGGGAGAAGGGAGAGTCTGGGAAATAAGAAATTCAACAGAGCAAAGCAGGTGTTTTGACCACGGCGTTCTAAGAGCCCAATGTCTTAACACACAGTGGGAATTTCAAAGAGAAGAGAGCATGCTGCAAATTCCAGACATATTTGTTCATGAAATGATCCTTTAAAAAAAAAAAGTAACATTTCACAACACAAAGTATTTAGGAAACACCAATGTCTATGTCATTTCTTACAACCACCCCACAAAGCAGGTTCAGGTCTGGAAACCGAATTTGACTCCAAAATCCATGCCTTGTCCACCAGAAAGAAATGGATTTCGTTTTTAACAACTGCAGGACTATTTCCCGGTTGAAGTATATAGGGAACACTTGAAAGCTTAATTAGAAGCTATTTACTACTTAATTGCATATTATTCCCAATATTAAAGTCTCTAAATTTAAAAATGATTTAGTTATGCATAAAGAGAAGAAATTTTTATCACTATGGTATGTTTCAGACTTGGATTCTCCAACAACCAAAGTGTGTACATGTGAGCAAGAACAGAAGAGCACTATTTAGCATAGCCATTCCTTTTCTCAATAGGGCTTTGAAATTTGAACAAAAATTATTAATTTAGTCCAGTTATCTCAGAAGCCCACAGATGAACTAAGAGTAATGTACTTAGCAGAGGATTAAAAAAAAAAAAAAAGAATATACCTAAAGGCAGACTAACTAAAACAAGAGGGGGCAGAGAGACAATCGTTGAATACAAATGTAAAACAAAAGTACTAAACACTTATGCTTTGATTTTGAAAACATGACATACATAATTTCAAAACTATATTCCATATATTCTCCTACCCTAACTCCCAGATCTCTACAGAAAACAAGTCTCTTCCCACAAAAGGGTAAATAATACTCATGCTGCCAGAAAGGTAGAGCATGATTCCACACAGTAGACCACACCAACCTGCCCAACACCCATGGAGTTAGAGGAAATGGCCACTCCTGTAACTCTGCCAATAAATTCTCCAATTTCCTGAGATCAGCAAACAGTGTGCACCATAATGACTACTAGCAATGAACACTCCATGGCTTACAATATTGTCTAGCACACAAGGAATCTTGAGAACAGTCATAAACTAGATAAGGACATCTCCTTATCTCCAATGCAGGAATTTATCAGAAGTGCTACGCCTAAGATCCTGGTCATGACATCAGGGAGAGTACCAGAAAGGCTCACGCACTTGTGAACTACATGACTTGAGTTTGGTTGACACATTTGTTTCAGATTGATTGACTGACTGATTTTTAAAGAATTTATTTATTTATTCATGAGAGAGAGACACACACACACAAAGAGGCAGAGACACAGGCAGAGGGAGAATCAGGTTCCATACAGGGAGCCCGATGTGGGACTTGATCCCAGGTCTCCAGGATCACGCCCTGGACCAAAGGTGGCGCTAAACCACTGAGCCACCCAGGCTGCCCATTAGTATTTGTATTATTTAATATAAAAACCATGCACTTGTCACTTAGAAATTTACCTTTAATTATTTAAAAAAATAAATATTAGGTCGGATGACAAATCCAAGGGAATAAAAATGGACTGTTAAGTAATTAAGTTCACTTGCTGATTTCTTGTCCAACCCCTATCCCTCCAGGACACTGAAAAAAACTGTCACTCAAGCTCTACTCAAACCATCAAGGCTCCAAAGAAGACAACTCTAAAACTATCCTTCCTAGCTGTTCTGAATTGTTGGCCAAAGATAAAGATGTCTCCCTTTTCCTTGCTGAGCCAAAAATAAGGTCAATTTGAGTGAATCAAAAGTTCAGAACTCTATCATACACAATTGTCTGGAAGTATTTTCAGCTGTCTTTATTTTCTAATCAAGGTGCTATTAAGTACTCATTTTTTTTGGTGTGAACACTAGTTTCTCAGTCCTCTGATGGGGAGGTTTCTCTCCACAATCACTCAAGGCTTTGTAAAGGTCTGAAGAAAAACTTGAGAATCACCTTCAAGAGTCTTAAAAAAGGAAGAGATGGTAAAAAGAAGTTTGTTCACAAAACAGTTATAGAGACAAACCTGGGATCACTAGAGATACTTATACTCTTTCCTCAAAAGTTAATAGAACAAAGAGATAGAAAAGCAACAAGGATATAAAAGATTTGAATACACCATCAACCACCTTGATAAAATCGACATTTATAGAATATTCTAATAGCAAATATTTTTTTCAAGTACAAGGACCATGTAACAACATAAACCATATGCTGGGCAAAAAACAAGTTTAAGGGATGCCTGCGTGGCTCAGTGGTTGAGCATCTGCCTTCAGCTCAGGTTGTGATCTCAAAGACCCAGGATCAAGTCCCACATCAGGTCCTTGCATGGAGCCTGCTTCTCTCCCTCTGCCTGTGTCTCTGCCACTCTGTGTCTTTCATGAATAAATAAAATCTTTAAAAAAAAAAGTTTAAACAGAAAAGATTCAAGTCATGGCATGTTCTCAGACCACAACAAAATTAAAAGAAAATTGAGTAAAAATATCACAAAATTGGGAAAATAATACACTTTAAAATAACCCATGAGATAAAGAAGAAATTATAAGAAAATTATTAAATATTTTACACTAAATGAAAATCTAACATCAGCATCTGTGAAATACTGCAAAGACATTAAAATGTAAGAGGAAAATTTAGAGCACCAAATGCCCATATCAGAAAAAAGATCTCAAATCAATAAGTTCTTTCCAGAAAAAAAAAAAAAAAGTTCTTTCCAGCTAAAACAAAAACAAAACAAAACAACCCCCCCAAAAAAAGTGTAACTCAAAGTAAGTAAAGAGGGATGCCTGGGGGGCTCAATGGTGAAGCATCTGTCTGCCTTCGGCTCAGGGCATGATCCCGGGATCCTTGTGGGGGACCCTGTTTC